GTTTTTCTCGTGCTTCGTGTACGTAAGGAGTGAGGTAAATGTTTGTCTGTTTGTGTTTGCTTTTATGTTCATGAGTGTGTGCATTTGTGTGTTTTTTGTATGCATGGGCTGGTGTATGTGGTCGCAAGTGTGTGCTTGTGTTTGTGTGCTACTTATGTAATGAGCATTTTTATAAGAGGAGTGATTAAAGTTCATCATCCTTTACAGACACTCTTAATAGTTTTAATTCCATTTTATGTTAATCGCTGACACATGAACAGGCAAGCATGTAATCACACAGACACATTATACAAGTGGGAAAAAAAGATAAACGAGGGTTCACAGCAACAAATAAAACCGGTTTAGGAAAATCCCTTCTATTTTTAGACGCAACAAAAGCCATGCCACCAAAGGAAAGATTCTGCCTTTACAATCATGGTTCTAACAAGAACTATCCAAAAGACCGCAAATAGACTACATCTGATGCTTAGTAACTCCTAGAGAGTATATGGATGTCGATGTCAGCATTGTGTTCACAGTTTTCAGAATAGGCTGTTTTTCTGGAATTATTTTTGTAGATGAGAACAAACGCCATAAAATTCATTATATTTCGAGATCACAACAGACCCCCGCATAGGGGTCGGGCACGCTTCTTCTGCGCGCTGATTGGCTGAGAGAGCGCCAATCAGCGGGCAGTACGTGCCGCGAGCGCCTTCCGCCGTTGAGCCAGACCAGACTTTCTGATTATGTTCTTACTGTATACACGAGAGGTAGATTTATGTTTGAAGATTCCATTAAAACTAAAAGCTCAGTTTTGCTAGTATCGGGGACAGCTCTCAATGAATGATGAATAGAGAGAGAATTCAGTTTAGAAAAGGATATTTAGATGTATATGTACGAATTCATAATTCATGGATACATCAATTCATTTGCATATATACAGTTAAACCAATGGAACAATGAATAAATCAATAGATAAGAGCAAATTGATAAGTCATAGCATGACTACATACATAAACATTCGTTCTCTCTCTCTCTCTCTGTCTGCCTCTTTTTTTCTCTCTCTGCCTGTATCTCTCTCTCTCTCTCTCTCTCTCTCTCTCTCTCTCTCTCTCTCTCTCTCTCTCTCTCTCTCTCTCTCTCTCTCTCTCTCTCTCTCTCTCTCTCTCTCTCTCAATCTCAATCTCTCTCTCTCTCTCTCTCTTCTCTCTCTCCTCTCTCTCTCTCTCTCTCTCTCTCTCTCTCACTCACTCTCTCTCTCTCTCTCTCTGCCTCTTTTTTCTCTCTCTGCCTGTATCTCTCTCTCTCTCTCTCTCTCTCTCTCTCTCTCTCTCTCTCTCTCTCTCTCTCTCTCTCTCTCTCTCTCTCTCTCTCTCTCTCTCTCTCTCTCTCTCTCTCTCTCTCTCTCTCTCTCTCTCTCTCCTCTCTCTCTCTCTCTCTCTCTCTCTCTCTCTCTGCCTCTTTTTTCTCTCTCTCTGTATCTCTCTCTCTCTCTCTCTCTCTCTCTCTCTCTCTCTCTCTCTCTCTCTCTCTCTCTCTCTCTCTCTCTCTCTCTCTCTCTCTCTCTCTGCCTCTTTTTTCTCTCTCTGCCTGTATCTCTCGAGTGTTTTCCCATCAATACTAATGGAGGGGGTTAGTGTGCTCTGTCGACGGGAAATAAACATGACCTGGGTTTTATCAGGTGCGAGTGTGACCTGCCATCGTCGGCCCCACGAAGTGATGAGTGATAACACATTATTAATATGTTCAGCTGTGGCAGCGCGTTCATGCTTTTCACATGTAAATGATAAAGTGCAGTCGTCAGCATATGCATGGGCTTCTGGAATCAGATGTAGAATGTCATTGAAATAGACGTTCCATAAGAGCGGGCCAATGACGCTGCCCTGCGGTACACTTGCACTGATTGGGTGTTCACTTGAAGTGTAGCCATTTGCCACTACTTGGAGAGTTCTTCCTCGTAGATAATCTTTAATCATCTTCAGGAGGTCACCATCAATGCCGAAGCTTTTTAGTTTTGAAATTATGCCTTCGTGCCATACTCTGTCGAAGGCACCTGCGATATCCAGGGCAACGACATAAGTTTCTTTGCCAGCATCAAGGGTTTTGTTCCAACTGGTGACTAACTGTAGTAGTAGGTCGGATGCTGATCTCTTCGATCTAAAGCCGAACTTCTTGCTACTGAGTAGGTGGTTGCTGTCGAAGAAACTTGTCATTCTGTTCACCAGAATTTTTTCATAGATTTTGCCTATGATCGAGAGGAGTGACATTGGCCTGTAGTTTTCAGGGAGTGCCTGGCTTTTCTTTTTATGCACTGCCACTACTCTAGCCTGTTTCCAGATAGCTGGCCACTTTTGCTGTTGGAGACAGTTTTGGAATAAGGTGGCCAGAGGAGTTGCAAGCTGGTCAGCACACTTTTTAAGTATGTAGGAACTTACGTTGTTAGGTCCAAAGGCTTTATTAACCTAAGTCTTAAGAAGATGATATTTGACTTCATCAGCACGAATGACCAGTGTGTTAAGTTTCTGATTAGTCATTGACGGAAGCTGAGGAGGTGTGCGGTCAGGTTCACGGATTCGCATCTTCTGAGAGAAGAAGGAGGCAAGTAATTCGGCTTTGTCCTGACTAGATGTTGCTACGTTTCCATCTGGTTTATATAATGGTGGAATGCAGTCTTGGGTCGTGAGGCCCTGTTGTTGTTTGACTAAACTCCACCAGTCTTTGCTGCCGATCGAACGGTTAGGAAGTTTTGTGCTGAGACATTGTCTCCACTGTTCGATGGCCTATTTCTGAACCTGCTTCATCCTTTTGCAGGCAGCTTTGTGGGTCAGCATGTTTTCTGCAAATGGATTACGTTTAAAACGAATCCAGGCTCTGCTTTTTTCCTCTGCTGCAAGTCTGCATGTGTGCCCAAACCAGGGCTGATCTCCTGCTTTAACCTTGTATGATTTATGAGGTATAAAGCGTTCTTGCAGATTCTGTAGTGTTTCGGTAAGTTTAAAAGCCTGTGTATTAACATCTCCTGTGAGAATGGAGTCCCATGCAGTGTTTTCCAAGACACTGCGAAAGCTTTGCCAGCAGCCCTTATTCCAGCTCCAAATGGTTCTTGCCAGTGCCTCCTCACGAGTGGCCTTCAGGTTAATCCTGCTGAATATGGCATAATGATCTGAGGAGCCCACTGCTCCTATGCTACGGCAGCTAACTGCTCCTTCGGGAAGGTCGGAGATGACGGGGTCCAATGAGGAGCCTGAGATGTGGTTGGGGAAATCAACATGGTTGTTTAGCCCATGTATTGTTAGCAAATCCTCAAAGGATCTTGCAACAAGATGCTGGTTCAAATCTCCTACAATTAGGATGTTTTTGCAGGTATAGTGGTGTAAAATTCCATTAAGGTTGTTCAGTAGGAACTCGATGGGTTCTCCTCCTTGCCACTGGGGCCTATAGCAAATACAGAGTAAGAGAAAGCGGTTTCCTGGGTGGTAAGCCAGAGCCTGAAAAACATGAGCTCCAGATGATCTGGCATGTCGATTTCCAGGAGCTGAACGGAAAGTGCCTTACAGAAACAGACTGCAACACCACCAAAGGTGCCATTAGTTCTGTCCTTTCTATGCCATTTTGTAAACCCAGATATTTGCCCGAAGTTCTCTGGGACTGTTGGATTTAGGAAAATCTCCACAGTGGCAATTATGTCAGGATTGTGAGGTATGACATGGCTATGTGTAAGGTCACCAATATTTGTCTGGAAACCTCTAACTTTAACTAAGAGGATGGTAAGATTGTCCGACCCTTTGCTGGAGTGGGACATTGAGCCAGGGGCCATGAGGACTGAGTTGTGGATGATGAGGTGGGTGGATAGTGGTCTGTGGCCAACCACCAAATGCTGATGGTCTATGGTGATGTGGACCAGTAGACAGGCTTTGGAGCGTCTGAACGATCAGGGCATTATTGTGTGCCTGTTCAGATGCAAATTTCTGTTAAAAAAAAAAAAAATCCTGTCTTTCCTGATTACGTTTTGTCCGGCAATCCTGAACTGTGTGCCCCCTACGGTGGCAGAAGTCACAGGATTTCCTTCTGTTGCAGGAAGCCTCTGAGTGACCCTTAGGTTTGCAGATCCTGCAACTTAAAGGTCGCCTTCCACCCTGAGGTACTGCACCTCGATTAAAGGGTGTATTGGATATATGGGGATGGCGAGTTTGTTGGCTTTGACTTTGTCTATTGTTAGGTCTATTTTGTTGGTTGCCTGCATTTACTGAGGTTCTTGTAGCTGTTTGAGGTTGCTGAACCACTCTGTACTTCACAGGCGCTCGACAACAGCGCTTGTGTAGAGTTGCTTTGCTGCGGGCCAGACGGATCTGAGCTGCTCTGTTCCTGCTGCTGCGAAATGAAGTGAGCGTCGATCTTGTCGGGACGCGCAATGCAGGCAATTGATCTTACTTCAAGGGATGGGAGTGCAGTTGTCGAAGCAAAAATGCTGTCAAAAAAGTTTATATTGACAACAGCATCCCTTTTGCTTGCAATATCTTCTGTGGTGGTGCCGAGGAATTTTAGAAGCAAGTTCTTCCTTGCCAGCTCGGATCTTAGGTTGCGAATTATTCTAACTAGATCCATAGGCTCTAGCTGGAGAAGCTCCCGTTCCTCATCAATGGCGGAAGACTCGTGCGTCTCAGTTGCCTCGTTATCAGGAGTTACGTGGGACACTTCGTCCGGGATGCCAATGGCTTGGCGTAGCCTTTGCACTTCTGTGCAGGTGAACTGACAGTCTTAACCGAGGCACTGGGGATGGCAGATATTCGGGCAGTCTGAGTAAGAGCAGTTTACTTTGCCCTTGTTGGCAGTTTTGACTTGCCACAAACAGAACACCACTCACGTGGTTCGTAGCCAGGCAGGCCCTCGGGTCGTGCAATCCGAGCGTGCTGGTTAGGAGTGCTTAGCATGTTCGTGTACTCACACACACACACACACAGTTAAAAATATGAGAGCGTTGAAAGTATCTTAAAAGCACGGATAATAAATATATACAGTTTATGGCTGTATTATGATTAAAAGTCAATTATAATCAATTGTTTTAAAACGTCAGTTAAACAACACAAAAGAACATTCACACTGTTACTAAAAGAAAAAAAAAGAAAGTCTGTCAGACCACATATTAAAAGACCTTAATGCACCCACACTTCACACGTCATAGTAAATAAAGCTTACAAGCATTCAATAAGACAACTGATATAAAATTAGTCAAATGATATAAAATGAAATCAGATAAAATACAGCAGAATAAAATAAAATAAAGCACCCGCAATTATAAAATCAAACGTCTAAAAAACGTCAACATTTTTTTTAAAAAACGTCAAAAATATCCTACCTAAGCCCCGTGTGCGCCTAAGACCGCGGGTTTTAACCGTCCGTTGGCGACGGATCCCTCGGTTGACACGGGGCGCCCTTGCAAGGGAGGACCTAACCCTACAAGCTGGCTCTGAGGAAGCCGACAGTGCCACTCCGCCTCAAGCACTCTGCAAGTATGCTCACGTGCAAAGCCTCGACCGGTTTGTGAGCAGTGACTATTGCAGGACTCTAACGAAGTGTAAGAGAAGCAATGGAAGGGTAAGAGTCTTCATTAATAAATGAGACATAAACTCTCTCTCTCTCTCTCTCTCTCTCTCTCTCTCTCTCTCTCTCTCTCTCTCTCTCTCCTCTCCCTCTCTCTCTCTCTCTCTCTCTCTCTCTCTCTCTCTCTCTCTCTCTCTCCTCTTCTCTCCTCTCTCTCCCTCTCTCTCCTCTCACTCTCTCTCCTCTCACTGTCTCTCTCCTCTCACTGTCTCTCTCTCTCACTTCCTCTCTTCTCTTCTCACTCTCTCCTCTCTCTCTTTCCTTCTCTCTCTCTCTTTCCTTTCAAATTGTTCTTACGTCTTTCCTGATTCTATTACTTCTAACAGTGCATCTATGACTCACTTGTCTATTATCAGCCATAACATATGTAGCCTACCCAATCATTTTGATGAATTTACTTTGCAATGTCTACATCCGAATAGTTTTGATGTGATAGGTTTCTCTGAAACTAGACTCACTCAAGACATTCAACACCTCTTCACACTCCCCGACTACCATGCATACTTCTCGCACCACTCTAGAAACAGCGGGGGCGTTGCCCTCTATATCCATAACAGATTTTCCTCTCGTGGTAGAGCTGGTCTATCTTTCCAAGAAGATTTTATTGTCAGTTTTTTACTGAAGTAACAATTAACAACGAGAGCTTACTGATTGGGCAATTGTAAAGGCGCCACAAAAGTAACCTCTTTTTTTCTGGAAAAGATTCAGCTCATAATCAAGACCGTATCACAAGAAAACAAGAAGTGTCTCATCAGTGGGGATTTTAACCTAGACCTCCTCAAGGCCGACTCTGACAACACAGACGGAAACCATCTCCACCTTTAATTCTAGGCTCTTTTTCTCAGCAGTCACTAAGCCTACTAGAGTTCAAGGAAACTCTGCCTCCTTAATAGATCATATCTGGACAAATTTTTTACCAAAATTAAAAGCAAGTGGGGCTATATATTGCAACATATCAGATCATTTTCCTGTTTTTAGTACTTTTAACCTAAAATTACAACACAATGAACCTAAAACTGAGAAAACACTTTACTATCGCGACTATAAAGAATCCAATATAACCAATTTTAAAAGTCACCTTACAGAAGTATGTTGGGACCTCGTGTTTGCCTCTCACAATCCCGAGGTTGCCTATGAAAATTTCATTAGTCTTTTTATCCCCTCCTTTGAAAGATTTTTCCCATCAAAATGTAAGTCACTACAATCCAACTCCTTTAAGAAACCATACATTATATGTGATATAAGAAACTTAATCAAAGAAAAAAATAAACTTAAGAAATATGCAAAGTGGCCTCTCTCCTACGGCGAGACATTTCGGTCTCTTCGCAACCGTTTAAAACTAACAATTCGGAAGGCAAAGGCAGATCATTACAAAATGAAGCTTAATCAAAGTGCAGGTGACACTAAGAAGACATGGCAAATTCTAAACGGTGTTCTTCACAGGAATAATAAACAAAAATCTGACAAAGTACTAATAGATGAAAAAGAAATCAGTGACCCCAACGCCATTACAAATGAATTTAACAAATATCTTACAAACATAGGCGATTAACCCCTAATGTAGATAGAGACTTTAAAGAATTTCTCGGGCCCTCCAACAACAACCCCATGAGCCTGACTCCGATAACAGACAGAGATTTCATCAATGTTGTTAATGACCTTAAAACTTCTTCTCCAGGAGACGACTGCATTCCCATCAACATTATTAAGAAAATGCTTCTTTGCATTCTTAAGCCCCTGAAACATGTAATTACTATACCATTTAATATGGGAGTATTTCCCACAAAACTTAAGATTGCCAAAGTTCATCCCATGTTCAAGTCTGGATCCCATTGCCTTAATAACTATCGCCCAATTTCCATACTAACAGCTTTTAGCAAAATCTTTGAAAAAATTATGTCCATTAGATTAACTGATTTTCTTTATGAAAATGATATAATCAACAATTGTCAGTATGGTTTCTTGAAGAACAAATCATCTGAATTAGCGGTTTCAGACTTCACAAATGAAACTTTAAAATCTTATGATGGTCGTATATTTACACTTGCTACATTCTTAGACCTCTCCAAAGCATTCGATACAGTCAACCATCGAATTCTTTTGGGAAAATTATACCATTATGGTATAAAAGGGATTGTACATGCTTGGTTCGCTTCGTATCTGTCAAACCGCACACAGTACGTAGTTTTCAATGACTGCAACTCCTCTAAAAGAACTATCGCTCATGGAGTCCCACAGGGCTCCATCTTGGGACCCATTCTGTTTCTTCTTTACATCAATGATATTGTCAATGCGAGCTGTCTGAGCTTCACTCTCTATGCTGATGATACTTGCTGTTACGCTTCGAGGCACTCCATTATAGATTTGATCAACTCCACGAACAGTGAAATGACAAATATAAGAAGATGGATGACTCTAAATAGGCTTACCCTGAATGTCGACAAGCCACTATATAATTTTTCATAG